GGTGCGCAGAGCAGGAGTATTTAGTGGAGGCAACAGAATGCTTTCCTGAGGGACATGACTTTGGTGGGCCTGGATTGCTGTGGGAGAGCCTTACAAATCTTTCTGTGTTTGGCGATAGAGGAGAACCTACTCTGAAAGAGTTACGAGAAGGCAGAGAGGCTATGTTCGGTCTCACAGGGGTCTCAGAACTTAAACCAGATCTGGAATACCTGCTGAAGAAAGAACTGGATCTAGAGAGGGCATACAGGCAGCTGCTAGGATATGTTCGGCCGCATGCCCAAGAGTCATCAGTGGAAATTCCAGAGACTGGGGATCTGATAGACCTCTCAGCTGAGGAGGAACCAGCAGTAGACCTGGCAACAGAGCCAAACAGTACTGAACTCTGCCCAGCACTGGTAATGTCTCCTGAGTTCCACGGACAGGAGGAGATGGTGAGCCCCGATCCCCAAACACCAGTTGCAGAGGCTGGGGATTTGATTGATTTCTTTTCTGAGGAGGAACCAGCCGGGGAGCCGCCAGCTGAAGTGCTGACAACCGGACAGAGGGTCCAGGACCTCTGTTCCATGCCTGTGGTAATTTCAGAGGCCCAGGGTGAGGAGGGAGAGGAGGTTTTTGTCCTCTCTCCCCCACAGTCAGTCAGAGTGGAGGAAACTGTTTTCCCTCCCAAGCCAGGATCTGTGCACCAGGGGGACAGTGACAGAGGAATTCCATCCCAGCAGCAGATCCACAGTCTGGGAGGGGAGGAAGCCGGCCTCCCTCCCCCACAGTTAGCCGGAGCAGATGTGGGGTCCCCAGCAGAAGTGCTGGCAACAGGGCAGAGCGCCGCTGGCCTCTGCCTAGCAACTACAGCCACCACCTGGATACCCCAGGGATGCTGGGCAGTCGGCCCAGATCCCCCACAGAAGGATGAAGGCGGCCCAGCCACCCTGTCTTCTCTCCAGCGGCTGAGAGGATTTCTGGGAGAAGGACCAGTCCGTACTTCTCCCCAGCGGCGGGTATGTTCTACGGGAGAGGCAGAGGTTGGCTGGGTGAGTAACGCTTGGTGTGGGACAATTTGCATGGGGTACTGTGCGGGTGCTGGCATTGAGAGACTGGAGGTGCAGAGTAACTTCAGAGTACATCCGTCTGGGATCTACTCCTGCGTTACTCTCCTGCCGAAAGGGGAGATATGTGACGGGAGTGACTTTTGGGGGTGGGGGGACCGCTTGGTCAGCTCATGTCCCCCTCATTATGTTTAACCCACCCTGTGCCTGTTAAGGGGTACAGGGTGTGAATGTGAATGTCCCAGTATTGTGTATAGTGTGTGTTCCTTTGTCCCTGCCATGTGCTCCCCCCCCATGGTGCTGTGTCTTCCTGTCCACCCAACTATTATGGGATGTACTGTTTGTGTATTGGTGTGGGGGTTGGTCAATGTCCTTTGCCACATGGTTGCATCCCATTGTTCTGTGTCTGGTTGGATGGGGAGGGGTGATGAGGTGTTTCCTGCCTATACTGTAGCCCTTCCCACTGAGAGGGTGGGCTGATGATGTATGTCCTGTTCCTGGATGTGTTTCCCCGCCCTCTGTATAAAACATGATGTTTGTGAAAAATAAAGGTTGTTGGCTTCCTGTTTTAAGAGCTGGGTGTTGTCTATTTTCCTGAGGGATTTCAAGGGTGTGGTCCGTGGATGGTGTTCGAACAGGGGAAGTTGTGCTATAACAGAAAAACTCAGTGCGGTCTGGGTTCCGGTTCGGTTACAGTGGGGCCTTACATGTCTCCTGGAGGGTCTGCCAAGATAGAATCGAGCAGGTGGTTATGAAGTTGTGCATGTTTGTAAAGGTGTGGGAGGTCCACCAAAAGAAAGAAGGGGGATGCTCTAATCCTGGAGGGAAGAGAAGGTTGTGAGTGATTGGCAAAAGAGGCAGGAAAGGTGATATTAGGTTATCTGAATATATAACAGAGTCCCATGTTCACAGACTGTGAAGCATAATGGGGCTCAAATCTGGGGGGTACAATTTATGTGGAAGCCAGAGCAAGGCATGCAAGGAGATCGGGGCACAATTGGGCAATTCCAGAAGTACCCATAATGGGATATCAGTCGTGGTGTGGAGCATGGACAGCTGAGAGATTTGAGCTGCCAAATAATATTTGGAAAAATTAGGAACTCCCAAAGCCACCCTGCAGTTTATGAGTATATAAGGTAGATATGGGAACTCTGGGGTGTTTGTGAGCCCAGATAAAGTGTAGAATCCGGTTCTGTAAAATTGGACGAAGAACGAAGGTACATGAAAAAGTAGGATGCGAAAATAGTATAGGATTTTAGGCAAGATTGTCATTTTGACAGCAGTGCTTTTCAGATATTTATGTGTAAAACATTTTGAAAACCACTGATCATTTCCCTTCCACTTCACAATTATGTGCCACTTTTTGTTGGTCTTTCACATAAATTCCCCAAAAAAATAATTTTACGCTTTTGGTTGTAACATGACAAAATGGGGAAAATTTCAAGGTGTATGCATACTTTTTCAAGGCACTGTATCCGGCCAATCCATGACAGAAAAGGAAACTGCCATGAAATAAGGAGGGAAGTTAAAGATCGTAATAAAGGGTAATAACTGGCTGAGAACAAGGTGGAATAGGAAGTAGTAAGTTTAACTCCAAGGTAATCTAAGGAGTGGGAAACCAACGGTACGAGAATTGTACCTGTAAATGTTCAACCAGGTCAGCAGGGAGAGTAATGTTCAATGCAGTTGTTTAGGAAAAAGGAATGTGAAGGCCAGATATGGCAGAGAATTGGTCCAATACACTCTGGAGATTGGGGAGAGTAATGAGGGGATCAGTTAGAACCAGGAGGGCATCGTCCGTATAAAAGTTTGCCTTGTAGTAGTTGCCTGCATAAGGGACACAGGATATATCTGGATTGTTTTGCATGGCCGCAGCAAGGCGTTCAAGGGTTAGAACATCAAAAAGTGCAGGTGATAGTGGGCAGCCCTGTCTCATCCCCCGAAATATCAGGAAGGGTGAGGAGAAAAAACCAGCTTACTTGACAGAAGCCAAAGGAGATGAGTATAAAGCCTTAATCCAGGCTAGAAAGGCATCTCCAAACCCCCAATGAGAAAGCATATAGGTCAAGTAATCCCACCAGAGCAAGTCAAATGCCTTCCATATGTCTAAGGATATGAGGAAACCCGGTATCTTGCATTGATGTAAGATATGGATGAGATGGACAACATTGCGGATATCATCCCCAGCCTGTCTCCCTGGCTTGAAGTCAACCTAATTTTTGTGGATAAGCGAATGTACGTATTTGTTAATTCGGGTGCTCAGGACTTTCCGCAGAATCTTCAGATCTACATTCAACAGAGAGATAGGTCTGAAAGCTTACGGTCCAAAGTTGTCAGCAGATATCTTGGGAATCATGGTGATATATGCTTTGAGAGACTTCGGGAAGCATGGGAGCCACGCTTCAGAGAGTTGAAAAAGGCTGCTAAGCATGGAAGCAAGAGGGTAGAAATTTTTTTTATAGTATAGTCCTGAGAACCGTCCGGGCCCGAAGCCTTGGAGGGCTTCAGGGATTTGACAGCTTGATAGATTTCAGATTCAGAAATGTCCATGTTCAGGGCATCACAGGTTGCAGGGGAAAAGTAGGGCAAGCGTAGGTCATTAAAAAAACTGTCAGCATGTTCTGTAATAAATATATTTGGTTTCTCGTACAAGGAAGATAAAAATCTGCAAACTTATGTATAATCTTCACCGGATCAGAGGTAAGACCACCTCCTCTCACTCGGAGTTGAACAGGTATGTATGTGAGGCCCACCGCGTTACGTTTCCTAGCCAACAATGGCCCCGGTTTATTGGCACATGTATAAAACTTATGTGTGGCCCAGCGTAAGGCTTTCTCAGCTTGCATGATAGAAAGAAGGTCAAGTTCAGCAGCTATGGCATCTCGGGGCTTTCCGATTAGCAGCAGTAGGACGAGCTTTCCAAGTCGCATTCACTGTAGCCAAAAAGAGAAGTCAGTTCTTGCATCCTCCGTTCTCTGGCACGTTTTCTGGAGGAGGCAATTTGGATCAGATGACCCCTGATGGTGGCCTTGTGTGCCTCCCATAAGAAAACTGTGGAAGACACGGAGCCAACGTTGTCCGTAAAATAGGATTGAATATGCGAGTGTATCTGTGAGTACAAAGCCTGAGTAGAGATAAGGGATTCACTTAATTATAAAGAGATATTTGGGAGACACTGGAAGAAGGGGAGGATAAGAGAAGAGAGGATCAAACATTCTTTTTACACAAGGATTAACCCCTTGGGTTTCACAGTGAGTATAACATGCATGCTTTACTGCATATACAGACTGATTTTACTGTTGTGGGTTTAGAAACACTTTAACTTTAATGGCATCCCAGACTTAGTCCATAAGCTTCAGTATTGAGTTGGCCTACCCTTTGCAGTTATAACAGTTTCAACTCTTCTGAGAAGGCTGTCCACAAGGCTTAGAAGTGTCGCTATGAAAATGTTTGATCATTCTTCCAGAAGCGCATTTGTGAGGTCAGGCACTGATGTCGGGACGAGAAGGCCTGGCTCGCAGGGTCCACTCTAATTCATCCAAAAGGTGTTCTACTGGGTTGAGGTCAGGACTGTGCAGGCCAGTTACGTTCCTCCACCCCAAACTCGCTCATCCATGTCTTTATGGAACTTGCTCTGTGCACTGGTGAGCAGTCATGTTGGAACAGGAACGGGCCATTCCTAAACTGTTCCTACAAAGCTGAGAGCATGAAATTGTCCAAAATGTCTTGGTATGCTGACACCTTAAGAGTTCCCTTCACTGAAACTAAGGGGCCAAGCCCAACCCCTGAAAAACAACCCCACACCATAATCCCCCCTCCACCAAACTTTACACTTGGCACAATGCAGTCAGGCAAGTACCATTTTTTTGGAAACTGCCAAACCCAGAAAGAATGTCCATCAGATTGCTAGACAGAGAAACGTGATTTGTCACTCTAGAAAAAACTGCTCTAGAGTTCAGTGGTGGCGTGCTTTACACCACTGCATCCGAAGCTTTGCATTGCACTTGGTTATGTAAGGCTTGGATGCACCTGCTTGGCTCTGGAAACCCATTCCATGAAGCTCTCTATCCACTGTTGTTGTGCTGATCTGAAGGCCTCATGAAGTCTGGAGGTCTTTAGCTATTGACTCTGCAGACAGTTGGTGTCTTCTGCGCACTGTGCAATGCAGAAAGCGCTGACCCCGCTCTGTCATTTTACGTGGATTACCACTTGCTGTTGTTCCCAGTTGCTTCCACTTTGTTATAATACCACTAACAGTTGACTGTGGAATATTTAGTAGCAAGGAAATTTCATGGATAGACTTATTGCACAGGTGGCAACCTATCACAGTACCACACTTGAATTCACTGAGCTCCTGAGAACGACCCAGTCTTTTACAAATGTTTGTCTGCATGCCTAGGTGCTTGATTTTATACACCTGTAGCCATGGAGGTGATTGGAACACCTGAATGCAATGATTTGGAGGGGTGTCTCAATACATTTGGCAACATAGTGTATTTCTATAGGGATTGTGGTAACCCTCACCCACAAATGAATAAGGTTTACATTTGTGGTGTCTCTAGGAGGAGCTGTCAAATATAACTCCAGATGCAGCCATCCCAGCAGACTCTGGGAAATAGGGGGGTGGTGTGAGCAGATGAAGCCAATAATTAGAACGCCATGTCCTATTGCAACACAGACTCACTTGCTGCAGTGACCACTCTTGGTGTGCTTTTGCTGGGTATGGCAGTTGCTGGTCTGCATTTAAATGTCAATGCTACTGTGTATGCAATTGAAATTTATAATTCACCACATTCCAAAAATAAACAAGGGGGGTGATGGAGAATTATTATCGAAGAAGAGGGAGGTGCGTTAGATTGAACAATTAGGTACTCGAGGTCTAAATGTTCAATCCAACGCTCCTCAAGGGCTTAATTCAGATTTTAAAAGAGAAATTTGGAATATGAAAATATGTCCCCTGCTGCCTCTACAATGAGCTCAGTTCTTGGTCTTCTGTAAGCCGAGAGCAGCTGACTGTCAGTCGCTCCATGGAGCTGCTGATCCAGGCATCTGAGAGGATACCGACATTAAAGTTGGGATCTCTCAAGGGTCTGGACCAGCTGGGTGAATTTAGATGACAGTGGGCTAAAACGGGTCACAGGAGTGCAGAATGAAGTGAAATCCTCTGATCCCCAGGAGAAGTAGGGCCAAAAGAGCTTTGACTATACTTTTCCTTTAATTTGCATTATTTTTTTTTTTCTACAGTTATCAGTAATCATTATTTTGTTATTGTTTTTGTTTATCACTCTTTTTTGTATAATGTAGGGGTTTATGGTTATAAATAAGAATCTATATGTATGTATAGATATTGGGAACTGGGAGATATTGCAAAATTTCTCACAATACTGTCTCTTACTGTGCATGCACTTCGTCTCTTACATACCTCAAACTACATTACACTCAGTTGTCGGTTAAAAAAAACAACAAATCATAAGATGAATGTAATGTCAGACAGCACACACATGCACAAGATGAGGCACATGATGTCATAGGCTCCATATTGCACATGTGCAGTAGCCCTGAGACTCAAACATTATTGGTGGGCCAGCATAGAGAACAAGAAAGAAAGAGCAAGCTACGGATGTTGTTAATTTTCTAAGAAGTATCAAATGCTCCATTTAAAAAAAAAATGTATCCACTCAGTTAAAAGAGGGAAACGATTCTGCAATTCATTTTTTACTAAATATTTTTGACCAACACTTTATTTTTACAAGTGATTACTAGTGCTGGCTCCAAAGCTCTCTGTGCGGCTTTCCTGAACTTCTAGGTAGGGAAGTGCACACAATGAACATGTCACAAGGTACTAGGCTTTTGGACAGTGCTCACTCAAGCTGCTGTCAATCAAGCTGCTAAAGGAGAGCGGAGGGATCAGCAGGAGAGTTTTTTTGCTGCCACAGGATTTCTAGAGGAGGAATGAGCAGGAGAGTTTTTTTTGCTGCCGCAGGATGTCTAGTATCTGTGTGGATGCACAGCAGTTCCAGACAGAAGTGTACACAAAAGTGACTCCATGGAATATTGAAGGGGATAGAGCCACACTAAAGCAGGAACAGGTGACAGTCCTTTTAATCAGATAAAATACAAAGCCAATACAGACTTTGCAAGAAAACATACAGCAAAACTGTAAGTGCAGGGTTTACCACTTAAAAGCATCAATTTCATCAAGTCTGCAATTCACATCAAAGGAAAATAAAAAGTAGTGCACCACAGTGCAAGGCACGGGCATTGTAATGCTCCTAAAGTGTGAATCTAGCCATTCTAAATGAATGCCACTACAACACAGCTTATAGAGTAGTCTCTTGTGTTATTGCTGTGGAAAAATGCCCATTAATGCAATGCCTTGGTCTGAAGGTATTCATTTATTCAGTTACTTCCTGGTTTCAATGCCTAACCAATTATATCATGCATCCCAGGAGTCTTCAGGAGGGGAGGAGGGGTTTTCTTAGCTAAGAACACCCTCCTGCCTGCATGCCTGAGCTAGGGGCTGATGGATTCCAGGAAGTAAATGTTACATAAATTATCTGCCCTTACTCATGATGGCCACAGCCAGAAACGCTAGGGAATATTTTTCAACATGATTTCTCAGCAAAATAAAGCATGGAGACATGGATGGAGGAGTTGGCTTTGAATATTAAATGACTAATTAAGTGTTCTTGTATGGCAAGACCACTTTCTGTTATCTCACATATATATTCTTAATATTATAGCCAAATTTACCACCCTAACTCCTCCCACAGTTTTTACACTACATAGAAAGTAATATTCGGATTGTTCCCGATTGGTGTGCTATTACTTTGTGGAACATTTCGCCGAATGGTTCATGAAATATCGGCATTTTTGTGGTGAAATTGGTCCCATGGGAATGAATGGTGGAATGTTCAAAACTAGACTGGGAGCTGACAAAAGCTAGAGTGTGAGCTGAAAAATCAGGCCATGATCTCTAAACTGCCATCAGTCCCTCATTTTCAAGCCCACCTACACAAATCTTATATCAAAACATTCAGCTATCCCTGCTGCGACTACAAATGTTCACAGCTAAGCCATAGTCCTGATAGTTTTCACCATTTGTTTGCAACTCACGCCACCCATTGACAATCATTGAAACTCCACTCTAGCCAACTCAAATCTGAAGGGCAATTTCTAAACTGCGACTGTACCTTCATTTTTAATATTTTAGAGACATACTATGCATCAAAATGTAGGTCTGGGTCTTGTGATTCTCACAATATAAAGCTCTTCATTGTAGGATTTATAATTTTTAAACTATAACCGTTTGAAGATGTCAACCGCCAGTGAAGTGAGCAAGTTGGAGCAGTTTTACAACCGCTCTTCTCTGCCCTTGCTGTAGAGTGAGTTGCCAAAGGAACCAAGGTGTGTGAGCAGGCAGCAGAGTGACAAAAGCTAAATGTGCTATATAAATAATTAAAAGTTGAAATGCATTTCTCACTCTATCAAGCTTGCCATGTGTACTTTTTAAATTTGATCAATCAATTGGTTAGTGTAATGTTTACTATCTTTACTCACTCCAAACACTCCACACAGTTACTCTGCCCACTCTATAAAGTTACTCTGCCCAGTCCAACCTTTTCACAGTTACTCCAGCCACTCCAACCACACAACAGTTACTCAAGCCTCTTCACCCAGTTACTCCGCCCACTCCAGTTGTAGACTACTGGTGGAGGGAAGAACACTTCACACAATTTCCCCAGAAATTGTAGCTTTTCTAGTTAAATAGTGTTTGTTTTGTGGTGTTCCGATACAGTGTAGATACTGTATGCTTTAAGTATAGGAATCATTACGAGTTAGAAAGCAGCATAGCATATGTAAAATAAGAATAGGACATGAATTCCTTAGTAAATGTTCTTATTGCCAAATATATAATAATTCTCTTATTCGACCAATTCAGTTTAAAGCTGTTGGTCTTCTCCCCCAGTCACTAGTATTAGCTTCCAAAGTAAGAGTCAATGCCAGTCTGCTATATAATTCCCAAATGCTGCTCTAGACCTTAAAGAGTTGGAGATCTACCTAAACAACATGGGAGAAGCCAAAGATCTCTGGGCCCAGTGTCACCTCCTCACACCTGATTTAAACCTTTAATTGCCGTACTACCATGTCGCAATTGCATGCATTGCACGGAAATCATGGGTATAAATCAGGTGGTGAGGCAGCAACAAATTGCCTCCTCATCACCTGTCAAACACACGGCTCACTTTTCAGAGGAGCAACAGTGCCTGCTGCACTTGTGAATGAGCCCTTAGTTGCATTCAGCAATGGTACCCTTACGGCTCGTTCACACAAAGTTGGTGGGTGGTAAAACCCTTTGGTTCTATCAATGTTTCTGCCCTCAATCCCTGCAGAGGCAGCAGCCAAAGGTGTATACACGCCACAGCAGGAATGAAATCCCCTGTTGCTTTTGGTGGGTGCTACCATCTGCCACCTGGCAACTGCATGCTTCTTCAGGGTCCAAGGGATTAAAGCAGGTGTGAGAAAGCAACACAGCACTACCTGCTTTAACCTCTTATTTGCTGTACTGCACAAGGATGCAGGGCACTTGCAGAATGACCTCAATCGCTTGAATAGGTCATGCTTGGCAGGTGCTACACCCACCAACCATGACATAGCATATAACTCCTCCTGTGTGTACACCCCTGGCTACTACACCTAAAAGGGGTGTGGTTGGGGCAGGGGTGGTAAAAACACGTCTTAACTATGGGGTTTTACAACCCCTCAAACTGCATATGTAAATGAAACCTTACTGTTTTGAGCCCCCTATAAGGCTGCTTTCACACTGATGTTCTGCGGTTCACCTGCATCACTGCAGAGCAGTGCATCTACGACATTCCTGGGTTAGAGGCGTTTTTTGTCATAGGTATGGTGCACTTTCTGAAACTGAAGCAAAACTCCTGCATTCAGGAGTTTTGGTGTGCTTTCAGAAATTACACCAAACCCACAGGATATAACAGAAGTCTATGGCTAAGCACAGCTAACCCGCAGGATCCATGGTGTGGGTAAACCACAGCACATCAGTGTAAAAGCAGCTCAATACTATTATGCCCAGTGTATTGCTTCACACTGACCTGAAGATCTCTTCTTCCCTGCTGCTGGCACCACTATGGAGACCGCTAGCCAGGATAAGAGCGGGAGTGCAGTTGGTATCACTTTGCATAGGTCAGGAGCCAAAAATACAGAGAAGGCATCAGCTTATTTGGCTCCTGCTGTCTGCTACAGCTCCAACTTTACAAGCAGTCATTCTGCACTGCACTCTGATGCTCTGGGATGACGGG